GGAGCAACCACTTGCTCTACTCAAAGCTTCTCAATAATTTACATTTTATAAAAGTTGTTGTAAAAAATGTTTATATAAAATATGATCAAATGAAATCTAAATATGGCTACAAAAAAATTTTAAAATTTTGCCCTCCTAACTCAAAATTTTGATTTTGTCCCTGCATGAGGGGATGAAATAAATATATAGTTTATTATTAGTTTGTATGTTAAAATAATAAAAAATTACAGTTAGTTTATAATTGTTTAATTAAATTTAGTTATAAGGTAATAACAGTATTAATTTTTATATTTTTTTAATATAAATTTATGAAAAAAATATATATTACACTAAAAACTAATTCATTCAGTGTTAGGTTATATACCAAACAAATCGATTGTAAGAGCAGTTGTCTCACATCGACCTTTGTGTGCGTGAATTGTAAACTATAAATAAAATTTTAGACAATTTTAAACTAACTTGTTTTGAAATTGTGCTATATTTGATTACCGTATCCTTATAAGTGTTTCAAAAATAACAAACTCCTTGAGTGGGAGCCACCGCCAATCGTGGAGCAGTTGTCTAAGTGTTTCAAAAATATACCGAACAGACCGAATTCCCAGGCAAAAAATTGTTAGGCCCATTTTTCGAGAAGCCAATCAATGTGCAAACCGTCTTACTGCTGTAGGACATTCACTGTCGTAGAATTTTGTTGTTTTCAAGTATTGTCCCTCTGGTCCTTTTTTGTTTTACAATGCCGACCTCATGCGAATCTGGTTTCTCAGATCTTAATGTGCCGTGTTTTTTGACCAATACTATTTCCTTTTTCACCAAAAAAAAAAATTTGTTAGGCCCAAGCCTTGAAGCGAGAGGCAGAGGGACCACCTGCTAAGGTAGGAGAGAGGGAAAAGCCACAGACTAGTCCCAGGCCCGGAAAATGATTAATATATATTTAATTTAATATATTTTTAATATATTTTTATTTTAATTATTAAAAATATAATATAAATATAATTAATTTAACTAATTTTTATATATTATTTAAATAATTTACTTTATTTATTTAAAATTTATAATATAAAATATATATTCTTATTTAATAATAAATAAAAAAATTGTTTAA